CAATAACGATAATGATGATAACAATAATAATAATATGATAACAATTACAACAGCAGCAACAACAATGATAATGATGATGCTAATGATAACAATAGTGATAATGATAATGATAATGACAATAATGCTAATGCTAATAATAATCATGCTAACTAGCGGTGATGATGATAATGATAATATCATAAACAATCATGATGATAATGACAATGATGATGACAATGAAGATGACAATGATGATAACAGTGACAGTGACAATGACAATGATAATGAAGATGATGATGATAATAATAATGACAGTGATAGTAATAAAATAGATAATGAAATATTAAGGTGAAAAATGAAAATGAAAATGAAAACGACTACTGACAAATAACAAATGACTGAACAGTGACAAAAAATAACCATGATAAGCGTAATAACTGTCAATGATAAGGAACCTACAAGTACGGCAGCAACCCAACAGCAACAATCACGAACATTAAAACAATAAGAGAAAGAAACATAGTCGATTTTCTTAATGTACATACAAAAAAAAAAAAAAGAAAAAAAACAAAAAAAGAAGGACAATAGATTATAAAAAGAGTGAATCCATAAGAGCAAAAATAAATATAAATAACAACAATGATAACAATGATAATAATGATAATAAATAATGATAATAATGAGATAATAATAATGATAATAATGATGATGATAATAATGATGATGATGATGATGATGATGATGATACCAATAATAATAATAATAATAATAATAATAATAATAATAATAAAAATGATAATAATGATGATGATAATAATAATAATATGATGATGATGATGATGATGATGATGATAACAATAACAATAATAATAATAATAATAATAAAACGAAAGCCCGCTTCGGGCCGTACCTTGGCCACCAGGAAGGCCTCCTCCTGCGGCAGACTCTCGAATCGCAGGACGTAGTCGAAGGCCACCTGGCACGGCGAGCAGAAGGAGTAGTAGGGCGCCCAGTGCTCGTTGGGGGCGTCCCTTCGCCCGCTCCTCCAGCAGGTAGCCACGAACTCGGGGAAGGTCGGCTGGCAGTCTCGGGTCCCTCTGCGCTGCCGGCCTTCTGCTGGATCTGCCACTAAGGGTTCTTCAGGTCGAGGAGGGAGAAGAGAAGGGAAAAAGGAAAAAATTAGATTTAGATCTAGTTTCATTATTAGATCTAGATTTGGTATCAATTCCATTTGTTACAGTGGATATTCTTTGCTGTGGCAGACTGTTTTTTTGCTTCTAAAATCCCCCCCCCCCCCCCCCCCGTGTGTGCGAGGATGGCCGAGGTGACCATCCACTGGCAGCGCGTGGGGATCGAACGCGGATCAGCAAGATTGCAAACCAGCACGTTAACCATTGGACGACACAGCACACAGAAGGTAGAAGGGAGAGGGTAAGGAGGGTAAGGGAGAGAATAGGGGGAAGGTAAGGGAGGGAGAGAAGGGAGAGGGTGGGTAAGGGAGAAGGGAAGATGGGGAGGGACAGCGTGGGGAGGGTGAGGGAGAGAAGGGAGGGTAAGATAAGGTAAAGGAGGGAAGGGGAAAAGAGAGGGAGAGGGCAGGGAAAGGGAGGGAGAAAGGAGAGGGCGGGTAAGGGAGAAGGGAAAATGGGGAGGGAAAGAGTGGAGTGGGCACGAGGAGGGAGTGGGTGGGGAGGTTACGGGAAGAAGGAAAGGGAAAAGGGAGTGTGGGGCAGGGTTAGGTAGGAGTGGAGGTGGGATAGGTCAGGGTAGGAGCAAAAAGACTATTTGCTATTGTGGGATTACTGCACGATCGGCATTAAAATCAACCATTATCTTCTAATATATAGCACATATACTTATTACATACATACGTGTAAAAGGAAAGGAGTATATTCTGCCTTAGAGAGGTATATTCTACCCGGGGGTATACACTGGCCGAGCCCTTACATCTACCCCGGGTATAGAACAACCCAGCCCAAAATAACCCTAGGTATATTACGGGCGGGGGAGGGGGGGTGGAGTGTTTAAATCTGTTTACCTGTAGAACTTCTGTTTCGTGGACTCGATCTTGTCCCTGTAGGCGGAGAGGAGGCGCTCGAAGGGGTCGCGGACGATCAGGAAGGACGTGGCTCCGGGGTTCTCCAGCGCCGCCCGGAGTTCGTCCTGCGACGGGCGGGCGTAGGCTTGCTTCCGGGCCAGCTCGACCGGGGAGGAGCTCGACTTCTGCAGCTCCTTCTCGGTGAAGCCCGCCATCAGGAGGAAGTTGAAGAGCCACGTGGAGGAGGCGGCCTTGAACACGTTGCACCACACGAGGTTGAAGCGGCCGCTGATGAGGAACTCCTTGCTGTTGGGGGCGCGGGCGAGGTCCTCCGCAGACAGGGTCCTCCGGCATCGGTCCTCGACCTCGACCCTCCGCGCCCTCAAGCTCTCCTCGACGGAAGAGAGGTTGACGGGCGGGTAGGACAGGTCCTCCACCTCGCTGGCCCACTTGGCCACCTTCGAGGGATTCTTGGCCATGCTG